CCTTGAAGCTGACACAGAGGAAGTCATGCATACAGTTCCTACATACATGACAGACACACAGTGTGTATTAGTCTCTACGACCTGTGAAGATGCGCAAGGCCACCTGCCGGAGCGGGGTCACCCGCCAGGATACGACATGGACACTTCTTACTACGTTCCTTTATGCTCCACGGAACCGGATATCAAATATGATCTGGACTCCGATGAGCACGGGAAGTATATCGAGCTCTGCTTCACTGCAGACATGTCCAAAGTCGTCCTGTCCGAGCAGCAACACCGACTGTTGGATGACAGCAGCGTCACAACTATGCGAGTATACGTTAGCGCTGCCTCCAAACGTGCCGTGGTCGTCAAGGAAGACGATCTACTCACGAAGGCCGACGTCCAAGCAAATCCGGTCAAAGTTTCCAAAGCCCTCTACACAGAGCTGAAGACTTGGCTTGACAACAAATGCTTCCAGATGACTGACTTAAGCAAGGCGTCTAACATCATGACGTCACGCTACGTATACAAATGGAAGTTTGTCAAGAACGAAAAGGGCGAAATGGAAAGGACGATCCGGTTACGCTTGGTACTCCGTGGCTTCATGGACCTCGAAGCCTTTGACGTCGAAACCTTCTCTGGCACGGCAAGGAGGTCAAGCCAGAGACTGCTCGCAAGTTCTGCTGCATGCAACAAAGCTTGGATCATCGCTTCCCTGGACATCAACATGGCTTTCTTGAAGGGACTGACCTATGGCGAGCTCGCCGCGGCAACGGGCGAGAAAGAACGTGTGGTGTGTTTCACACTACCACCTGGGTCAGCAGCTGTCCTTCGCACACTGCCAGGCTTTGAGTCATATGACGAATCAAAGCATTGTCTCCGGTGTCTGAAACCGGGGACAGGCACGAAGGATGCTCCCAGGGCATTCTCGCTGAAGCTCAGGTCCATCACTAGGAGCTTTGGGCTACAGCCTACTTCATACGACGAAGAATTCGAGATGAGCCCAAACCTCTTGACAGCCAAGCACGTTGATGACATCAATATGACTGGGAAGGAAGAGGCTATCGACAAGTATGTCAAGTGTGTTGAAGATACGTTTGGGAAGTGCAAACTGAACAAGCACACATACACGAACTGTGCTGTTCGGTACAACAAGACCGATGATGGGAGCGTCACTCTCGACCAGGACGAATACATCAAACAGCTTCGTCCTATCACACATCCAGAACTCACAGGAGCTGATCCTGAAAGCAAGGCGACGAAGACAATTTCTGATATGTTCGTCAGTCTTCGTGGCGCTCTAGCCTATGCGTTGATCACGCAGGTATGGCTAATGGTCTATGTTGTCTCACTACAACGTATCCAAGAACCGACAAACATCCAGGTACGACGACTAAACGCGGTTACCAGAAAATTGCAGGCAGGCCCGAAGAAGATCGTGTATCATGCTATGACTCCAACAGGAGAAGTCGACCTGCATAGCGATTCTGGCTATCGTCGTCTCAACGGAGATGAAGACGACGAAGTCAAAGGCTATGGTATCCGCGGGGCTAACCTGCTGAGGCGTGGCCACACGCAAGCGGGGAAACCCGTCGTGCACCTGGTGGACGCATACTGCAAGTCTCATCGACTGCAAGTGCGTTCGAGCTACTCTGCGGAAACACTGGCAGCAGCCCACAACTTGGAAGACTGCTACCCGACCATTGTAACGCTCCACGAGCTACACTCGGGACCATTGACCCCCACACAGTTAAAGAACATATTGGAAATGGGTGGTCTATGTATCAAAGTCACTCTGACTATTGATGCCGAGTCTGTCTTCAAATCTTTGTCTAGCAAGGATCTGAAGAAGCCCACAGAGTGTACTCTGCTTGGGCACATCAGCTGGATTCGCCAGATGATGGAACGTGGAATCGTGGAAAGCGTCCAATGGTGTGACACGCGGGATATGACTGCCGATGGTCATACCAAAGGTAGCATTGACCGCGCGTTGCTCCTACAAGTAATGGCCGGCCAGCAATCCTTCAAGCACGAGCTGAAGAAACATACGCCGTATAGGGCGGGCAGGTCGTCTCAGGACGGCCCTGCCTCCCGAGCCAGCGGGGAAACCCGCGGGCAGGTGCGCTTTAGCAGCGAGGAAACTCGCCGGTAGCGAGGCTACTCGCGCGCCCTTTCCTTGTAGGCAGCCGCTGCTGCTTAGCACTGTTTTTCCGCATAATAGAAGTGCGGTACCTGCTCGTCTCCTCCCCCTCCGACTTTAAACGGAGAAGGTTAAAGGCGAGGTATAAATCGAGCATGTACCGCTGCCGTGCCTGGCTCAAGCCGGGCCCGGCATAATATGTGACTGTGCCTCACCGAGGCGCACTACTTGCATCTGAGATCGGAAAACATCCTTTCCATTGACGATGCCCATCTTACTCTTTACTCCAGATCCCATGCTTCGTCTCGCTCTCTTGCTCATGCGCTATGAGCCTAAGCCTGGGATATGGAAGCGCCTAAGGCGGACTGTATACCTAAGCTTACCAGCTTGTTTTCGACTCACCCAAGAGAGACCCAAGAGGACCACAAGAGGCCTCCCAAAAAACTCTACAGAACCCCAAGAGTGCCCTGAGACGGTCGAAGCCCCACAAGAGAGCCCCAGAGGGGCCCAGGAGAACTCAAGAGAGCCCCTCGACGGCCGAAAAAGGCCCTACGAGGAGCCCACTCAGGCCTAGAAAGGCCAAATTGATGAACTTCCGATGGTGCCGGCGTCATCATCTCTCGGATCATTTCACACGCCACGACGGCCTAAGAGGCCCCTCCCTCACCCCAAGCTCGGTCCACGCTCGCTCAAAGACGGCCCACGAGGCACTCAAGAGATCACCAAGAGAGGCCAAGAGGATTACAATATAAACTCTCCACAGCACTATCTCAGACGTGCGGCAACCGACTTCCCGGGCTCTCTGGACCGTCTAGCGTCGTTCTTGAGCCGTCTGGCGTTTCCGCGAAGTCCGTCTTGAGGGCTCTCTCGATCGTCTTGAGGCTTTGTGAAGGACATTGAGGGCCGTCTGCGAGTGCCCTTGGATCAAATTGGGATCCTGTTGGACCCCTCTTCGGCCGTCTTGGCACCCTCTTAGGCCGTCATCAGGCCCTCTTGGTGCTGTAACGTGGGGCACGCATCAACGTGCACATGCACGCGCACGCACAGACACACTACAAGGGCAGAGCAGCCCCTACTAGCGCCCGCCCGCCCTTGCGGAACCCTGTTCCAGGTGGAATCCGCAGCGCGCGCAATGTACAGGTCCTCCTCCAGTGGCACACAGCAGCGCCGCTCAGGCATTGTACTGCTCGAAGCGCACGTTCGGGGAAACATCAGCATGCTTGTTATAACGTCGACAAACATCGCAGTTGCAAGGGCTAGTACTAGAAGGCGAAGCGCAGAAAGCCTTCAACATTGCGTGGGTAGATTTACACAGATACGCGTGTATCTATTTTTGCATACAGATGTACACAACTAGTTTTCGGTGTATACGGATGAAACATGTTCACACGTAGCATGTATTTACTCATGCACTTCCCCATCGGGGCATGGACGTTTTTTTGTCGCGCTGGGCATTTTCGGTCGCGGACCAATCTGGGCCGAGTATAATGCTGCAGAAAGATTGTGCTGAGGGGTTTTGATCGTGATTTTTTTTGTGATGGGGGTTCAGGTCGTGTTTTTGTTTTGATGGTGCTGTCTTTTCGCATATCAGGGCCCGACCCTTTCCGCGGGACCAGTTTCTCGTCCGGGGCCGGGTCGCTTTCTGACGGTCTCTTGGGCCCCGAAGATTGCCCCGCGGGGGTCGAGATCGTGTGAAAAAGCGACAGGGTTGAAGCAATGTCAGCGGATGTCTGTGTCTACAGAGGTTCCCCCTGCCCCTCGTGCCTCAATTTGCACCGGCGCGTCCCGCCGCTGCCTGACCGCCGTCTGATCCCTTGCGGCCGCCGACTCAGAAAGTGTCTACAGAGGTTCTCGGTGTGTCTCCTGACGGAGGTCTCCGCGGAGACCGTCCAGAGGTCCAGCATCACCCAACAATTTTCAATAACTTGATCCTCGTCCTCCGGCGCCTCCCGCTCAGGGGCTCCTCCCCGGCCCCGCGCCAGCGCCGCCGCACGATGTCTTCCGCTGGGTTGCCGCCCCCCGCGGCCGTGGCGACGGCAGCGGTGGCGAGAGGATGCGCGCAGAAGACATCTATACATCGCCAGCGTGCCTGGCCAGCGCCGCCCTGCGCTGGGCCCTGGTGGTATGGCCCTCCTGGCTTCAGCCAGGAGGGCGTCGTGTACCATGCCGAGGCCCGGGATGGCAGGCGCGGTGGGGGATTCATAGACGTCTTCTGTGTAGGATGGGCTGCGGGGCCACCTCGGGCGCTTCCAAGCGGCCCGCGGAGGAGAGCCTCGGCGGCCCTCGGCGGCCTTCGGTGGCTTTCGGTGGCCCAAGTTGCGGCGAGGAGGGCGACTACGGCGCCGTCGTCGTCGTCGTCGTCGTCGTCGTCGTCGTCGTCGTCGTCGTCGTTGTCGTCGTCGTCGTCGTCGTCGTCGTCGTCGTATTCGTCGTCGTCGTCGTCGTCGTCGTCGTCGTCGTTGTCGTCGCCGCCGCCGCCGCCGCCGTCGCCGTTGTAGCGGCCGTCGGCATCGTCGTTGTGGTCGGCATCGTCGTCGTCGTCGTCGTCGTCTCCGTCGTTGTCCGTAGTCGTCGCCGTCGCGCCGCCGCCGACGCCGCCGCCGCCGCCGCCGCCCTCGTCGTCGCCGTCGTCGTCGTCGTCGTCGTCGTCTCGTCGTCGTCGTCGTCGTCGTCGTCGTCGTCGCCCGTCTCAGGAGGAGACCCGGGGTGACCTGGCGCCGCAGCCTCACCTGTCGCTCGGGGGCGGCTGGCAACTCGAGGAGGCACCGGGCATCTGGCGCCCCTTCACCGCCGAGGTCCCGGGCTCGCCCAACCGTTTCCAGGCCAGGGCGAGGCCTCCAGTGTGGTGTATAGTGTAGGCCCTCGTGGCCTCGGCCAGGAGTGTATGCGCGACTCCAGAGCGCAAGATGGCACCTTCAAGCGCCGAGGCTCCAGGCCGCCCAGGCGCCCAGACCAGGGCGAGGCCCCCAGGGTGGTGTAGTATAGACCCCAGGTCGCCCAAACGGAGCCGAATTTGGATTGGAACGGCAGATCGCGCCGCACTTGGGGATGCGGCTCGATGTGGAGCCCAATTTCCTCCACGTCGCGGATGCATCGCCAGTGCATCGGCGATGCATTTGCGATGCGGCGCAATGCACCTACCCCATCTACTTCGACCCTATTTGGGCATCTTCTACAGACCCTCGTGGCCTCGGCCAAAAGGGCGCGTGCGCCACGCCAGTGCCCCAGGTGGCCCCCAAGGGGCGGCCACGGGCGGCCATTGGGCGAAAACCCAGGGAGCCCACCACACTCGCAGAACCAAGCCAATCAGCAAGGGCAGTGAAGTGCTGCTCGGGGAGTAGGCAGTAGCGCTCGGTGGTCCGCACGGATTCCTCGGGCCCCCCTCCCCGCCTTTGGCGGCGCCTCTGGCGCCGCCCCCTGCACCCTGCGCGCCTGGGAAGCACGGGAAGGTGGTGCGGCGCAAACCCAAGAAGTCTGCGCGGACCTCCCAAAGTTTGTGTCCATGTCGGGGGCGGAGCTTCCAAATTCGCCACTCAGCGTCCCTGTGCCGCTCGACCGACCAGCGCGCTCGCCGCCAGGTCTGCGACAAACAAGTGTTCTGAACCTCCAAGTACGGTGGGTTCGCGATGCGTTGACGCGGGGGCGACCCCAACGCGGACGTTCGAGGTTTGTCCGCCGCCAGCGTCCCCCCAGAATCGGCCGATATCGAACGATCTGCGCTATCAGAAAGCAGCGATCGTTCAATGCCGAACGATCTTCGTGACGTCAGGGGTCAACGCCGACGTCGTCACGACGCGAATCTGCCGTGCGCGGATGAGGCCAGAGGATCACGCCGCATCGGTGATGCAGCGGCGACGCGGCGCGATCCAGATCACGATGTTCTCCATCCCGACGTCGCCGATGCAACGGCGATTCTCGAAGAACACGAGAATACAAGACATCCGCGCGAATCTCCGAAAATATATGTTTATGCCGTTTTCCCTTTTTTTGAACATCGGCGATGCGTTGCAATCCCTCGCCCCCGTCTGCGCGCTCCGGCCCTCTCTGGGTGGCCTCCAGAGGTGAGCGCCCAGCTTCTTGTGGCCTGGTACTGCCGGGAGGGCGGCGCGGATTACGAGGAGGGAGACGCGTCGTACAGGTCGGATGACGCAAGCCATACCCAACACAGATGCTGGCCAGACCAATCTTGTGTTCGAGGATCGAATCGGGTGTTTTTAACATTGCCTTCAGGGGCTGCGGGAGGCTTCTGGCTGGGGACCGCTGGAGACCGTTGGAGGCCTGCAGGAACCCTTGGAGTCCTCTACGTATTAAGTTATGGGGACCCATAGAGACCTCCGGAGACCTCGTCCTAGGCCCCGGATAGGAGTACACGTCCTCCTGGCTTCTGCCCAGGCCAGTAGGAGAGCCCCTCATCTGGGGCCCTGGATGGGCTTGGCCAAGATTTTTCTGTGTATGGCTGGCGTCCTCCAGACAGGGTCGACTTCGAGTCTGGGCTCAGGACCGATCTGCGCACGGGCGCCCAGCAGCGTGTCGGCTGGTCGGCTGATCGCGTCCCCTCGCCGGCGGTGGAGGAGGAGGAGGAGCAGGAGGACGAGGTGCCCGCCCATGCGCAGCACGTGGGCGAGGCCGGGGATGACCTCGAGGACCGCCTGCTTGCCGCGTGGGCTGCGGGCTGCAAGCTCGCCTACTACTCCGCCTACGGGTGCGAGTACGAGGTGGATTTCGTCCAGAAGGTTCAGACGAACCTTAGCACTGGCGAGGAGTTCGAGGTCGGCCTCGAGGCGGCCGAGGACGCGCTGCAGGGTGGCCCGTGGGTGGAGTACATCGACCCAGAGACTGGGCGGCAGTACTACGGCAACGGCAAGATCACGACTTGGGAGCAGCCCGCGGGCTTCGGCGGCAACGCCAGGGCGGTTGGCGAGTGGATCGAGTATTGGGATCTAGCCAGCGGGCGCCCGTATTGGGGAAACGGTCAGACCACTACGTGGGAGCGGCCTGCGGCGGCCCAGCCTCAGCCGCAACTTCGTAGCAGCGCAAGAAGCCTCAGCCGCAGCCCCTCGCCGCAGCCGCAGCAGCCGCAGCAGCCGCAGCCGCAGCCGCAGCAGCCGCAGCCGCAGCAGCAGCAGCAGCAGCAGCAGCAGCAGCAGCAGCAGCAGCAGCCGCAGCCGCAGCAGCAGCAGCAGCAGCAGCAGCAGCAGCAGCAGCAGCAGCCGCAGCCGCAGCGGCCTCAGCAGCAGCCGCAGCCGCAGCAGCAGCAGCAGCCGCTGCAGCACCACAGCGAGGGGCCTGAGCAGAGGACCATGGTCGTTTGATTGCCTTGTGTACCCACCAGAGCGACCCTCCCCGCCCACCCCCCCCGCAGGCAAGGTATGGACATAGTTGTCAATCTTCAGGTGTTGTCGGCTTTCTTGTGGCCTGGGGGGCGGTCTTAGTGGTTGTTCCCGGGCCCCACTGGCCCTGCAGGGGGGGGGGGCGAGCGGCACCGCTCCAGGCAGACCGGAATCCCAGACTTTCCATCGCCTCGATGTCTCGAGACCAGGTGGTGCCCTCCAGCAACGGCCTCCCCTTCGGCGCATCCTCGCTGTCGTTGGAAATCAAACGGAGGCGACTCCGTCCGCTAGCTAAAACCCTCGGGAGTTTGGTGGAGAGATGCAGGATTTCTGGAGTCGGTTGGGTGTTGTCTGCTTTCTTGCGGCCAGGTCCAGCGGTCTCTGTGGTTTTGCTACGGGGCTGGGCGAGGGGCACCCACTCCGGGCGCCAGACCTGATCAGGGCTCGGAAGTCGACACCAGCACCAAGATCTCGTGGCTCGAGCAATGACGCTTCAACATGAGAGGGAGCGAGAGCGAGAGAGAGAGAGAGAGAGTGAGACGGAGAAAGAGAGAGAGAGAGAGACGCCGTGCACGGCAGAGGTGCATGGGCAGAAATAGTGGCGGCAACGCGGCCGCTGCCGAGCGCCGTGTAACTATCTGTGGCTGGCTTCTGCTTGTACCAAATCGAGGAAGCGGGGAAGAGGGAAGAGGCGAGAGGAAATGAGGGACGACGAGGCAAGACGACACGAGACGAGACGACGAGGAGGGAGGTGGAGGCACGAGTTGCACGCAAAGCGAAACGGACGCGCCTGGCAGCTGCATGCCACGTGCCTGGTGGGCCTTGCCACAGTCCGTGCAGCGCGTTCGAATCTCCGGCAGCTCTGGCGGCCAGTTCGTGGCCTCTGTGCTTTCACGTGTTTCTGGGCCTTCCCCTCGTTCGGGGGCCGCCTCTCCCAGATGGGTCGACGGAGTGTGGTTTCGGCATGAGTGGATTCGTATGCCTTGGTGCCGATGCAGACCTTCTGCCTTGGGCAGGCCGAGCTCTCCAGACGTCCATCGCCTCAATGGCTCGGGCCGCCGGCCTCTGGAGGGTCCATCGGCGAGGGGCCTCCAAGACGGGGGTGAGGACCGCGGGTGTGTTGATGTCATGGCCCCCGCCTCTTCCTTGAGCACGTCCCTTGCCCCCCCCCCTCGTTCGCGCACATGCCTCGGGCCATGATGCGCTATGCCCCTTCTTCCTGGCCCACCTCTTCGGCGCACCCGAGATCAGTAAGAGCATGCACATGAGCTTGTGGGGGTCCGCGCGGACTTCTTGGATCGACGCTGGGCCTCCAGCGTCGCGCTTCGCTCGCCAAGGGAAGGGGGTCCTGCGCCAACGCAAGAAGCCCGCGCGACCCCTCGGAGGTTGACGTAGCGAACTGCGGGGTTGCCCACATCGACCCGCCCATGCATCGCTGGTCAGAGCTTGGCTGCCCCATCCTGCCCAGAAACGCATGGGATTACTCTCAGGGGGGCTATTGCTAGGTATTCCATCGGCGTTGTACCTGCGGTTCCAGATAATCGAGTGTTTTTCCCCACATCCTGAGTGGGGTTCTTGTTTTCCCAGAACACCCTCTCCTTCTCCTTCTCCTCCTCCCTCCTTCCACTACACCATACTAAACTATACCATACCAAACTATACCAAACTAAACTATACCATACCACACCATACTAAACTATACCAAACTATACCATACCATACCATACTAAACTATACCGTGCTAAACTGTACCATACCATAGCATACCATGCTAGGCTATACCATACCATACCATACCAATACCAATGTCATACTAAACTGTACCAAACGTAACTATACCATACCATAACATACTAAGCTATACCATAATATACCATAACGTACCATACTAAACTATACAATGCCATACAAGGCTACCATACCATACCAATACCAATACATACAATACTTAACAATACCATCATACTAAACTATACCAATACCTTAACTATACCATACCATAACATATTAAACTATAGCATATATACCATACCATAGCATACCATACTAAACTCAATCATACCACCGTACCATGCCATACCGTATACCATACCATACCCATACTATACCCACCGCACATGTCATACCATACCACACCATACGTACCACACCATACCATACCGTACCATACCATACAACAGATTTCGTGCCCCTCCCGCCCTTCCCGGGAGGCCAGAGCGAGGAGGGTATCGGCACACCATAGTATTTATCAGGTTACGTGCCCCTCCCACCCCTCCAGGGAGGCCCCGCCAGAGCGAGGAGGGTATCGGCATACCATACTATTTACCAGGTTTCGTGCCCCTCCTACCCCTCCAGGGAGGCCCCGCCTGAGCGAGAAGGGTACCGGCATACCATACTATTTACCAGGTTGCGTGCCCCTCCCGCCCCTCCAGGGAGACCCCGCCTGAGCGAGGAGGGCATCGGCATACCATACTATTTACCAGGTTTCGTGCCCCTCCCGCCTCTCCAGGGAGGCCCCGCCTGAACGAGGAGGGTATCGGCATACCATACTATTTGCACGGCTTCGTGCCCCTCCCACCCCTCCAGGGAGGCCCCGCCTGAGCGAGGAGGGTATCGGCATACCATACTATTTACCAAGTTTCGTACCCCTCACACTCCTCCAGGGAGGTCCCGCTTGAGCGAGGAGGGTATCGGCAAACCATACTATTTACCAGGTTTCGTTGCCCTCCCGCCCCTCCAGGGAGGCACCGCCTGAGCGAGGAGGGTATCGGCATACCATACTATTTACCAGGTTTCGTGGCCCTCCCGCCCCTCCAGGGAGGCCCCGCCTGAGCGAGGAGGGTATCGGCATACATATTTTTTACACGGTTTTGTGCCCCTCCCGCCCTTCCAGGGACGCCCCGCCTGAGCGAGGAGGGTTTCGGCATACCATACTATTTACCAGGTTTCGTGCTCCTCCCACCCCTCCAGGGAGGCCCCGCCTGAGCGAGGAGGGCATCGGCATACCATACTATTTACCAGGTTTCGTGCCCCTCCCGCCCCTCCAGGGAGGCCCCGCCTGAGCGAGGAGGGCATCGGCATATCATACAATTAGACGGTTTCGTGCCCCTCCCGCCCCTCCAGGGAGGCCCCGCCTGAACGAGAAGGGTATCGGCATACCATACTATTTACACGGTTTCGTGCCCCTCCCGCCCTTCCAGGGAGGCCCCGCCTGAGCGAGGAGGGTATCGGCATACCATACTATTTACCAGGTTTCGCACCCCTCACACCCCTCCAGGGAGGTCCCGCTTGAGCGAGGAGGGTATCGGCATACCATACTATTTACCAAGTTTCGTGGCCCTCCCGCCCCTCCAGGGAGGCCCCGCCTGAACGAGGAGGGTATCGGCATACCATACTATTTACACGGTTTCGTGCCCCTCCCGCCCCTCCAGGGAGGCCCCGCCTGAGCGAGAAGGGTATCGGCATACCATACTATTTACCAAATTTCATGCCCCTCCCACCCCTCCAGGGAGGCACCGCCTGAGCGAGGAGGGTATCGGCATACCATACTATTTACAAAGTTTCGTGGCCTTCCCGCCCCTCCAGGGAGGCCCCGCCTGAGCGAGGAGGGTTCGGCATACCATACTATTTACAACGTTTCGTGCCCCTCCCGCCCCTCCAGGGAGGCCCCGCTTGAGCGAGGAGGGTATCGGCATACCATACTATTTACAAGGTTTCGTGCCCTTCCCGCCCCTCCAGGGAGGCCCCGCCTGAGCGAGGAGGGCATCGGCATACCATACTATTTACCAGGTTTTGTGGCCCTCCCCCCCCTCCAGGGAGGCCCCGCCTGAGCGAGGAGGGTATCGGCATACCATACTACTTACACGGTTTCGTGCTCCTCCCACCCCTCCAGGGAGGCCCCGCCTGAGCGAGGAGGGTATCGGCATACCAGTGTATTTACATGCCCTTCCCACCTCTCAAGGGAGGCTCCGCCTGAGCGAGGAGGGTATCGGAAACCCGCACTATTTACCAGGTTTCGTGCCCCTCCCACCCCTCCATGGAGGCCCCGCCTGAGCGACGAGGATATCGGAAACCCACCCATACAATTTTACATGGTTTCGTTTCGTACCTTTCCCACGCCTGCACGGACCCCGCCTGAGCGAGGAGGGTATCAGAAACCCTTACTACATTTACAAGGTTTCGTGACTCGCCCGCGCTTCCAAGGAGGCCCCGCCTGAGCGAGGAGGGTACCGGAAAATTTTCCTATTTACACGGTTTCGTGACTTTCCCACGCTTCCAGGGAGGGTCTGCCTGCTGCTCATGATGCGGAGGATTATGCTGACGAGGAGGGGGATGATGAGGACCAGGATGAGGAGAGGGATGATCAGGAGAAGGATGAGGAGCATGAGGAGGCGGAGGAGGAGGAAGAGGGGCAGGAGGAAGAGGAGGACGATGAAGAGGGGCAGGAGGAAGAGGAGGACGATGAGGAGGAGGGGGAGGAGGAGGGGGAGGAGGAGAGGAGGAGAACCAGGAGGTGGAGGAGTCGTGACGGCAGCTGGGGGAGTGCTTGAGTGCGGACGCGAATGGGAATTGTACCTATCCATCTCACGGTCCTACTCCTCCCACTGACAGGGTGAGGAGGAGGGGAGAACATTACCTATCCATCTCACGTCCTACTCCTCCCACTGAGGAGGGTGAGGAGGAGGGGGAGTTCTGCGATGAGGAAGGCTTCATCATGATGATGGTGATGACGATGGTTATGCTGCTGTTCACGATGACGAGGACGATGGCGATCTGGTGATGGACGATGACGATGGCTATGACGGCGATTATGATGATGATGACGATGACGATGACGATGCGATGATGATGATGATGATGATGATGATGATGATGATGATGATGATGATGATGTGATGATGATGATGACGATGCTGATGATGCTGATGATGATGATGCTGATGATGATGATGATGATGAAACGATGATGACGATGACGATGAGATGACGATGATGCTGATGACGATGAAACGACGACGAACGGGGGTGAGCGCGTCGCCCACCGCTGGTCGCCCCCACTGTTTCGGTCGGCTGGTGTAGCGGCGCTTGCGTTGCAGCAGGTGGAGGTGACTTGGAATCGTACTACCATCGGTCTTCACACTGCAGTGGCTGCGATTAAATAGCACTCCGCGTGGGCTTAAGAGAAGCCCCCCCACGCGTCGGCCCGAGTACAGTCAGGCTAGTAGTTAACGCCGTGTGCACAAAACCATAATGCAGCGATACATTGTTTGGGAGATTGTTGGCAGTCTTTTAAACCGCTCTTGGCCTATCAGTGTCTGCGTTCGAATTGTAGTTACCAGGCACCTCGGCAAGTGCTTTCGTCTAGCGAAGTAGTGTCGCCCACCCTCTTGTATAACCTCGACTGGACGAGGGAAATGAGACCACTCAGACCAACCTCGCGAATCGGACCTCACGAGGAAAATGGGACCACTCAAACCAACCTCCCGCTGCTGCTCCTGCTGCGGTTCCTGCTGCTGCTCTTCGCCATCATCCATCTTATCCCCTTCCTCCTCCTCTTCCTCCTCCTCCTCCTCCTCCTCCTCCTCCTCCTCCTCCTCCTCCTCCTCCTCCTCCTCCTCCTCCTCTTCCTGGAGGGTATCGGAAAACATGCTGTTTGCACGGTTTCGTGCCCCCCCTCCACTCCTCCAGAGAGGCCGCGCTTGAACGAGGAGGGTCGCGGAAAGCATTACTCTTCGCCAGGTTTCGTAGCCGCCCCCCCTTCCAGCGGGGCCCCGCCAAAGCGAGGAGGGCATCAAGAAAATGGGCCCCACGAAACCGTTAATCTCTTTATGCGGGGAACCCCGTTAGCATAATTCCCGGTGCCCGTCCCCCAATCTCGCCCGCCCCCCGCCTCAGTGGACCCGCCCCAGGGTCCGTTTTTCACCCAAGGTGGTTTTGTGAAGGTCCAGAGGCCGAAGTTTTCAACAAGGGTCACAAGACAGCAGCCTTGATGGCGACTTGTTTGAGTCGCAAGAGGTCGGCGGCCCTGTGGCGCGCCGAGGGGGGAAAGTGAGAGGGGGCAGGCCTTCTCGGAAACCCCCTGTCGCCTCGGAGAAGGCTACGACGGCCTCTCAGAAGGCTGGAGGCCGAGCTCGGCCGCGAACTCGGCCGAATGGGCCTGGACCGCGGCCGAGCGAACGGGGGCCGAGGACGAGGCCTGGCGCGCTGGGCAGCGACAGGGGCGCCTGGTGCACGCCGGAGGCGCCGGGCGTTGCGCCGCCTGGTCAGAAGGCGCCGCGGCGCGGGGGCGATCGGGCGCGGGCCCGCAACAGTCGAAGAACGGCCTTGGTCTTGGAGGGGCGCCCTGGCGTCCTTCGTGTTTGGGCTCGCCACCGTGGCGTGCGCTTCGTTTCGGGAATATCGATGGAGCCTTGGGCCTTCGGAGGAGGAGGGGCTCATGCTTTGGACCCGCGTTCTTGTGGCCACGTTCCGACCGCGCGACTTCTTCCTGAGCTTCTTGAGTTCTCAGGCTTTACAGACGGCTCCAGAGGAGCTCTGACTGCTGTTGTTGGTGGACGTTCGTTGTATCCGTTGCAGCGGTCAAGCCGAAAGACGACGAGGATAACAAGAAAGAGGAGCAGAAGGAGGAGGAGGAGGGAGGGGTGGAGGAGGCGGGGACGGGGAGGCTCCCATGCAACATTTGCTCCCCGCTACCCTCTTCCTCCCCCTCCTTGGGGGGGAGGGGGGGCGGGCATGCCTGACGGCCGCCGCGGACCGGGGTCAGCTCGGCCTCTGGGCGTGCGCCTCTGGGCTCATCCGCTGCATGGCTGCCTGCCAGGCCGCCGTCGCCCCGGGAAGGGGCGCCCCGCCCTTGATGGTACGCTTGGAGTGGGCCTCCCGCCGAGCTTCCCGGTGGCACCGCTGGCGGCGCGATGTGCGCCGGCAGCGAAATGGCACGCTTGGGGTACACTCCCGCGGCGTGCTCCAGAAGCGAGCGGGCACGCACGGCAGAGGCGCGCGAATGCTCACAACAGAGGGCGCTTTGAGTGCGGGAGCTATCCAAGCACCAGCCTAGTCAGAGAGAGGCCAGCAACGCGATGTGCGCCGCAAGCGAGCGGGCATGCTCGGAGTGACGTTCCTGGCGTGCTCTCAGACAAGTGATGCTGGCGACGCGGTGGTTGCTGGCCGCGAGCGGGCACGCGCCAAAGGGGCACTCGAGGCTCGCAGAAGGGGCACGGGACAAGGGCACATGAAGGAGATGCGAAAGCAAGGGCAAACGGTCGGCTATCTCCAGGGGAGAAGCGAGGCGGCTGCTTTTCCATCATGTTCTGCCTCTGGCGGCCGCTACTGGGCCTCAGGACAGCCAAATAATGACTGGATGAAGGAGCCAAATAATGACTGGATGAAGGGCCAGCCCTGGGTAAGGTGGCCGGCGCTACGTTCGACCCATTTCCGGCAGCAGTTCGTTATGATTTCACATCGAGGCGTTTCACGCCGTGTAGCTTTCCAGGCCCGCTCGGTCTTCTTGTGAGCTGCGCTGGGCCTGGGACCCCAAGGCGTGCCCAGCTGGGAGGAACGCAGCCGCTCGCTCGCTCGCTCCTGCCCCTCTCTGGCCAGGCGTGGCAGGGCGCCCCGCCGATGCAGCCGACGCTGAACGAAGAGGCGCGCCCGCGGGGACATCCGCCGCTATCCGAGGCGGACGCCTGTCCCGCCGCCCCCCGTGGGCCTCCCCGTCCTCCTCCTGTCGGCTGCACGTGCGTGAGGAAGGGAACGGCGAGGGAGCACAGGGGGACGGGGCACGGAGGAGGAGGAGGAGGCGGAGGAGGAGGAGGAGGAGGAGGAGAGGGAGGAGGAGGAGGACGAGGAGGACGAGGAGGAAATGGATGACGAGGAGGACGAGGAGGTCGAGGAGGAGGTGGAGGAGTAGGAGGACGAGGAGGACGAGGAGGACGAGGAGGACGAGGAGGACGAGGAGGACGAGGAGGAGGAGGAGGAGGACGAGGAGGACGAGGAGGACGAGGAGGAGGAGGACGAGGACGAGGACGAGGACGAGGAGGAGGAGGAGGAGGAGGAGGGATTAGGAGGTGTTGAGGAGGAGCGAGGAGGAGGAAAGCGAGGAGGAGGAGGCGGAGGAGGAGGAGGAGGAGGAGGAGAGGAGGAGGAGGAGGAGGAGGAGGAGGAGGAGGAGGAGGAGGGGGAGGGAGGAGGAGGAGGGGTGGGAGGAGGAGGAGGAGGAGGAGGAGGAGGAGGCGGAGGAGGAGGAGGAGGAGGAGGAGGAGGAGGAGGCGGAGGAGGAGGAGGAGGAGGAGGAGGAGGAGTAGGAGGAGGGAGGAGGAGGAGGAGGAGGAGGGATGAGGAAACGGAGAGAAGTAGGATTAGGGAGGACGCGGACGAGGACGAGGAGGAGGAGGAGAGGAGGAGGAGGAGGACGAGGAGGAGCAGGAGGAGGAGGGGAGGAGGAGGAGGAGGCGGAGGAGGAGGGAGGAGGAGGGGGGGAGGAGGAGGAGGGGAGGGGAGGGGGAGGGGGCGGGGGAGGGGGAGGGGAAGGGGGAGGTGGAGGAGGAGGAGGAGGTGAGGAGAAGGAGGAGGAGGAAGAGGAGGAGGATGATGATGCTGAGGAGGAGAAGGAGGACAATAAGGAGGACGAGGAGGAGGAGGAGGAGCAGGAGGAGGAGGAGGAGAGAGATAGGAGAAGGAGGATGATGAGGGATGATGCTGAGGAGGAGAAGGAGGAGGAGGAGGAGGAGGAAGATGAGGCGGAGGAGGGGGGTGAGGAGGAGGAGGAGGAGAAACTGGATGACGATGATGCTGCTGCTGATAATGTTGCTGATGGTGATGATGATGATGATGCTGATGATGATGATGATGATGATGATGATGCTGCTGCTGATGATGATGATGATGATGATAATGCTGATAATGATGATGATGATGATGATGATGCTGATGATGATGATGATGATGATGTTGTTGATGATGATGATGATGATGCTAATGATAAGAATGGCGATGCTGACGATGATGATGATGATTACGATGATGATGCTGCTGATGCGGATGATGGTGATGATGACGATGCTGATGATGAGGAGAAGGATGCTGCTGCTGATGATGATGCTGCTGATGATGATGCTGATACTATTGATGCTGATGAAGCTGATGAGGTTGATGATGTTCATGTTGCTGATGATGTTGATGCACATGATTACGATGCTGATGATGCTGCTGCTGATGATGCTGATGCTGATGATGCTGGTGCTGCTGATGATGATGATGATGATGATGATGCTGCTGATGCTGATGATGCTGATGATGATGATGACGATGATGAAGATGATGCTGATGCTGATGCTGCTGCTGATGCTGATGCTGATGCTGATGCTGATGCTGATGATGATGATGATGATGATGATGATGATGATGATGATGATGATGATGATGATGATGATGATGAAGGGGAGGTGGAGGAGAAGGGGGGGAGGCGGAGGAGGAGGACGACGAGGACGAGGGATGATGATGAGGAGGAGGAGGAGGAAGAGGAGGAGGAAGTGGAGGAGGAGAGCGGTGGCGGAGGATGAGGAGGAGGCGGAGGAGGAGGAGGAGGAGGAGAACGAGAACGAGAAGGACGATGAGGACGAGGAGGAGGAGACGAAGGAGGAGGACGAGGAGGACGAGGAGGAGTACGAGGAGGAGGAGGACGAGGAGGGAACGGAGCAGGAGGCGGAAGATGAGGAGGAAGAGGAGGAGGGATGAGGAGGCGGAGGAGGAACAAGAAGAGAAGGATGAGGGATGCGGAGAAGGAGGAGGAGGAGGAGCAGGAGGAGGAAGGAGAGGAGGAGGAGGAGGAGGAGAAGGAGGAGGAGAAGGCGGAGAAGGAGGAAGGATGATGATCAGGAGGAGGCGGAGGGTGAGGAGGAGGATGAGGAGGACGTGGAGGAGGAGGAGGTTGATGATGATGCTGCAAGTGCAGATGCTGATGATGATGCTGCTGATGATGATGGTGATGACGAATATGATGATGCTGGTAAGGATGCTGCTGAGGATGATGATGATGATGATGATGATGATG